ACTCTCATCCCTTCACGGCTTCTCCCTCAGCCACACTTGGTGTAGTTGCCACAGGCAGTCACACAGAGGAAAAGGCACAGAGCCAGCTTGCTGTGACAGCACAGCCACGCACAGGTGTGTCCGGGAGAGAACCCCTCAGCAGGCAGAGCCTCTGGCCACGTGGACCACCCACTTTTCAGTGAAGGGGAGCTGGCCTGCGGAACAGCCCCACACACCAGCCGACAAGGGAGCTGGCTGGTCGGAGACTCAAAAACCGCGCAACGGAGAGAGGTGGACGGCCCACTCCGGCAGGCACAGGTGGTGCCGCTATTTTTAACCCAGGCAAATGCTCCGAGGGCATCCGCTGTCGCAGCTGGGGAGAATCAGGTGGACAAGATGACTCCTCCTGTGGATGGCGGCTGTCCCTGGCTCAGCAGACTCGCAGACAGAGGGGCCATGCATGCAGACCCAAAGCTCCCCAAAATGTCCATGTCCTAATCCTTGGGACCGGGGAATCCATCACCCGTTCTACAACAGAGGGTGAAATAAGCTCGCAGGCAGGATCAAGGTTGCGCATCAGCAACCTTCATGGACACATCCTCATTATCCTCAATCATCGGGGTGGCCGCAGCGGCATCACACGGGTCATTAATTGTGCAAGAGGGAGGCGGCGTCCTGGACCGGCCACGGCCGGCCTTGGAGCTGGCAAGGGCGGGAGAGTGACTCTCTCCCGAGCCCCAGGCAGGAAGGCACACGGGCTCCTGGGTTTCAGCCCGGGGAGCCCCAGTGCAGACTTCTTCCAGGACTGTCCTCACTGTAGGCCACTAAGACCACAGCAATCCATTACAACAGCCACAGAAAACACACCCGGGCTCACACACGAGCGTGACCTGGCCACGGGCACTGGGTGCTCAGGCTGCTGACCGAAGACCAGGCTGAGCTCCCTAAACAGCACCGTTCCCTGGGGTCCCCAGGACTCTCAGTGCAGTGAGGTCAAACCTATTTTCACCTTGACACTAAGACATTTGCCTTTTTCACTTTATTTTTTTTAACAGTGGGATTTTCCAGAGGTTACCCAAATGTACAACAGATGGACTGTTGAAGATTTCTAGCTGTCTTTCATTTTTTCTTTCTTTCTTTATTTAAAAGGTAAAACAATAGGGTGAGGTGGCAGAGAGATCTTCCATCCGCTGGTTCACTCCCTCAATAGCTGCAACAGCCAGGGCTGAGCCAGGCTGAAGACAGGAGCCAAGAGCTCCCTTTGGGTCTCCCATATGGGTGCAGGGGCCCAAGTAGTTGGGCCACCTTCTGCTGCTTTCCCAGGCACACTAGCAGGGGGCTGGATCAGAAGCAGAGTAGTTCGATAACCCGCTGTGCCATACAGCCCTTAGGTATCTCCTAGGTGTCTGGAAAGATTTGCAAGAAATCAAATAATGCTGTTCTTCTCAACCCTTGTTTTGAACTTATTATTCACTGTTTAAAAAGTTATCTATTGGGGCCAGCGCTGTGGCATAGCGGGTAAAGCTGCCACCTGCAGTGCCGGCATCCCATATGGGTGCCAGTTTGAGCCCCGGCTGCTCCACTTTCGATCCAGCTCTCTGCTATGGCCTGGGAAAGCAGTAGAAGATGGCCCAGGTCCTTGGGCCCCTGCACCCCATGTGGGAGACCCGGAGGAAGCCCCTGGCTTCGGATTGGCACAGCTCCGGCCGTTGCAGCCACTTGGGGAGTGAACCAGCAGATGGAAGACCCCCCCCACCTCTCTCGCTGTGTAACTCTGAGTTTCAAGTAAATAAATAAATATTAAAAAAAGAGCTATCTTAACATGTAAGGGGTTTATTAGTCTAACATACATTATATTTTAATGCTTTAATTTTTAACCCAATAAAATGGACAGATACGGGGCCAGCATTGTGGCATAGTGGTTAAGCCGACGCCTGTGGCTCCAGCATCACACACTGGAGCAGCCATTTGAGTCCCAGCTCCCTGGGAAGCAACAGATGATGGTCCAAGTGCCTGGGCCCCTGCCACACACATGGGAGACCTGGATGGAGTTCCTGGGTCCTGGCTTCAGCCTGGGTGTTGCAGTCACCTGGGGAATGAACCAGTGGATGGAAGCTCTGACACACTTTCAAATAAATAAAAATAACTATTTAAAAAGATGGAGACATAACCCACAGAAACAGTCTGGGCCCCTCGGTCACTTCTGGGAGTGGAGACGGCTCCTGAGGCCGAAGCCTTTGAGCCGCCCACCCCAGGCGGCCAGCTGAACACACCAGGGCTTCCACCATAGAATGAGGACTGCAGAGCTGCCCTGTGACCTTGCGGCACCAAACACACAATCCTGCCCTGGACCTGCCTTTCCTGCCTGCGGCGCTTCTGCCAGCGCCCTGCCGTGCCACCCACTGCCCAGCACCCTTCCCTTTACGGTGAAGGACCCGGCACTGGGCACCCAGGGAATGCCCTGGTCTTACACGGTGTCTGCCACCAAGAGCAGCAGACTGGAGTGAGCTGTGTCGCAGGGTGAGCTGGAGACAAGACCCCACAGCCGGGCTGCTGATGGGCAGAAGGCAGCACATGGCTTCCACGCAGAGGACAGCACTTGGTGCCATTGCTCTGGGAGCCAGAATGCCCAGGGACCCAGGCGTGGACGCGGAGTGGCCCCTCTTACTTATTCCAAAACCCCCCTGCGCACTTTCTGCCTTCAGCCTCCTCGCCGCTCTTTCAGCTGTGTGTGGTCACCCCAGAGACGCACAGGTACAGTTCCTTTAGACTTGAAGCAGCACTTGCTGCCACTTGGGGGGCCTGCCTTCCACATCCGAGTGCCTGCGCCCCCATTCTGGCTCCTGCTGACGCACAGCCTGGGAGGCAGCAGATGGCGGCTGGAGTGTTCGGATCTCTGCCACCGGTGTGGGAGGCTTAACTGAGTCCTGGCTTTTGAGTGCACTTTGGGAGTGAACCAGGGATGGGAGATCTCTGCCTCTCTCATAAATAAATAAATTTAAGTCAGAAGTAGCGTGCTCCATTGCTTAACCAAAAGGTGGGGTGGGGTGGGGGAGGGACCAACTGTACCAGAGAGGGCGACTGGTTTGGAAAAGGCAGAAAAGTCAGCGCCTGCTACACTCTGCAGGGCGGGCACGGAGCCTACAGCTGGCATCCAGGCGATTCACTGGGTGACTTCCTGTTCCCCCACATCCAGGAGTGACTTGAGCAGAATCCGAGCACGCCAACTTCTGCACAGCAATAACAGTTGAGGTCACCCAGCAGAAAAGCCCCCAGTCAGCTGAGGGGCCAGCAGACGGTGAGAGGAACACGGAGGGGCAGAGGGAGCACGCCAAGCCCGCTGACCCAACCTGCCACAGAGGAGGGGCTACGGCAGCCTTCTTTTTTTAAAACATTGAATTTTTGTTCACCTGAGTCACAGAGAGACAGAGAAAGATCTTCCAGCCGCTGGTTCACTCCCCAAGTGCTCACAATAGCCAGGGCTCAGCCAAGCCTAAGCAAGAGCCTGGAGCTCCACCTGAGTCTTCAACACGGGTGGCAGGGACCCAATGACTTGCGCCGTCACCTGCTGCCTCCCAGCGTCTGCATTAGCAGGAAGCCGGACTCAGGTGCAGAGCTGAGACTTGAACCAGGCACTCGGATAGTGAATGTGGTGTCCCAGGGCGCATTCTAAGGCTGTGCCGAAGCCCAACCCTGTAGCGGTTTTCTGTCATTGTCACTTGCGCCCTCTGCTGTCTTATTTAAAGAGCCCTGCTGATGACTGCAGTTTAAGTTAGGGCACTGGTGTTGACATTGGAGATGAGGAGTTACCTTTTCTCTCATTAAAAACAAAACAAAACAACTGAAGGTGAAATGCACATAGCACAAAATCAAACACACGAGAACGGACAATTCCCTGGCATCTGCTACATTTACACTGCTGGCACGATCAATGGCACAATCTATTTCCAAAACCTTTCATCACCCCAAACGATGACGCAGGAGGGACGCGAGCTATGCATGGGAAAGACCAGGGCAGAACGGCTCTGCCTGGACGGCCCCTCTCTGCCCATCCACGGGGCAGCTGCTGGGTGTGGCCCTCCCTTGGGATGTTGCTCAGGCAGCTGGCCCCTCGGGCTTTGTTAGGGCTGGGCCAGAGCTCTTAGAACATTGCTCTCAGGCTCTCGCTGGGGCAGGGCTGGTTCTGCCATCTACAGCTGCAGCCACGCCGAGCCCCCCCCCCCCCCCCGCCTGTTCAGGTGCAGGGGTGGTGGCGACTTCCCGGGGGGGGGGGAGCCTCACAGGGATCTGTCCCTCATAGGTGCCCGCACCTCTGCAGGTAACCTTTCTCTTTCACACTCTTTCACACCCATCGCCTGCTGGGCCACCCTTTCATTCCAGAATACACGGTGTGCTACCCTCCTGCAGGGCTTCTGAGTCAAACCACTTCCACACTCAGGTCTCAGGCGGGGCAAAGGAGTTGCTTTTCTGGACGGCTGGGGTGTGCGCAGGACCCCCACTGCCCTCTGGTGGTCAGCTCCTGGAAATGCATTCTGCTGAACTGGGCCTGATAACACACTTGAGCATCTTGCAGCCAGGGGTCACTGTGCCCACTGCACAGGTGAGAACACAGAGCTTCAACGACCACCCACTGCCTTTACTATAGACTCAAACCTTAGCCACAAGCCCCCTTGTCTCCCCTGCCGTCACTGTGACCCGGCCATAGCCTTTTCTCAGATCCCAACTAGCGTACTGGGAACCTTCTGAGATCTTCTCTACCTGGTTGCCCTGGCTCAGGCCTGAGTCCTCCCGCAGGGTCCCCCACATCCATCAAAGCCTTCCTCGACACGCCCCCTGACCTTTCACCTATCAGGTGTTCGACACCAGTCGGTGGCAGGTGCATGGTGCTTTGCTCACTGCTGCACCTCCCCTGCCAGGCACACAGTGGTAGCCACAGCAGCAGCCAATGGTCACCAAGCGCTTCTCTGTGCCGGCCTCTGAGTGAGGCAGCTCAGGCTCCCAGGAGACAGCTCTCGAGTCTATCAAAAACTCACATAGATTTATTAGAATATGAAAAAGATTCGGTTTCTTCTGTACAGGCGGCAGAGCGGCAGCAGCTGCGGTGGCTTTGTACATGGTTGTCGACGTCACCCTGGCACAGGCACTGCTGCCCACGGGACAGGAGATGGGCAGGTGGGCTTGGCGCCTGCGGCCCAGTGCACTGGGAGGTGGGACACTGACTATTGCACGATCCTGGGAGGGGGAGTGTCCTGGGGGGGGGACCGACACCGACAGGCCCGGGCCTGGCCATGGTGACAGTGATGGGGGGAGTGTGTGTCTCTGGGGGCCCAGGTCCCTGCCCAGCCCGGCAGCCCTGGCTGCAGCGGGAGATCCGCGGGGCCTTCTCCCTGAGGACCGGGCTCCACAGCAAGCAGGCTGCGGTGAACGCGAGGTCGGGGCTCCAGGGCCAACCCAGCGGTGGGGCAGGTCGGAAAGACAGTCCCACAGGAAGCGAGTCAGGCCCCGGAGGCCCATGATCGGGGTGGGGCCCCTTCCTGAAATCAGAGCCTCGGACAACAGCAGAGGACGACCTGGGAGAGGCCACTGGTTCTCTGCACAGGCTGAGGGAGGGAGCCAGAGGGGCAGATGTCCGTGGAGCCAAGGGCTTCAAAAACGGTTTAAACCCAGGAGCGCCCTCTGTGTGGACAGAATCGTCCTCGGAAGTGCAGAGAAGCAAAACCCTGAACAGCTCAGCGCCTGGCCCTGTAGGGGCGCAGTGGAGTCTCCTCACCGCCAGAAACGTCTCGGCTCCGGCACAGCAGCTCGGGGCAGAGACCCTCGCGGGCCGCCTGGCCCTGCTCCGGGCGCACACCTGGTACCCCTGCTGCCTCCCCTGGGCCCAGGCTCCCTCGGCCCCCTCCCCGTCTGGAGCCAGAGGTCTTTGGTTAGAAAGGAAGCTTGGTCTGAGTGAGGGGGCGATGGAGTGGGGGCAGGGGCCCCGACCCCTGGAGGGAGCCAGACCGCCCCAGCCAGACGATGGGGAAGGCAGCTCCGCCGGGCGGAGGCCGCTTCCCAGGAGGCAGGGGGAAGCCGTGCTGCGGTGGGCGCTTGGGCCCAGCTGCCATGCGGTGGGGGCGGGGCGGGGCCGGCACCCCAGCTCCCCCAGGAGCCCCTGCTGTGGCGGGAGAGTCTGGCGGCAGGTGCGCTGCGCTACTGCCCTTTGGGGATGAAAGGCTCCCCCTCCCCGGGCTCGGGGTGCGGGCCGGGGTCGCTGAGACAGCGCTGCATCCTCTGGGAGCTGGGGCTGTCGCTGGGCGCGGGGCTGAAGACGTCGTCCGTGCCGGGGGACGAGGGCTCCTTGGGCCGCATCACGATGCCCCCGTCCTCGTCCTCCTCCGCCGCCTCCTCGGCCACCCTCGGCTCCCGGCTCAGCCCCAGGACCTTGCCCTTGAGCTCCTCGTTGACCAGGTCCACAGACTCGGGTGATTGCGGGGACGCCGGGTCGATGGTGATGACCGGCAAGTCTGCCTTCGGCTCATAGGCCAGCGGGTCTGGGGACCGAGAGGGGGCGGAGCTGGGTCCCGCCCCAGGCCCTGACCAGCACCCACCCCACCTCCAGAAGCCCCCTCAGCCCAGGCCAGCCACTCTGAGCCCCTCCTGAGTGCAGCCACCCCCGCGGGGGGGGCTTCTTGGCCCTCCCCCCGCAGCTCCTCTCCCAGGCCCAGGGGCTCCTCCCTGAGCCTGCCTGTGCTGGGGGCGCTGGCACAGGCCCCTGCCTCCATTGCACCTTTCCCCAAGGGACACCAGCAGGGCCGCCCTGCCCTCTTTTGCAAGCGCCGTCCCTGGTGCAGAAACAGCTCCCGGCTCGGCGCGGGACACTCTTACCTGAGCCGATGCGGGCCCGGGACATGGTAGGCGAGTCCAGCTTGTGCGCCGGCACAGTCAGGTAGTTGTTAATCTGACAGAGAGAGCAGGCAGGGTGAGCCGCACAGCCTCTCCTGCAGGGGGCATCAGGGTGCTTGTCCTCTGGGGCCTGTGTGGCACCTTCGGGCACTTCAGGGTGGGGGCCCTCAGCAAGCCAGGCAGCCTGGGCCACTCCCACATGGCCCTGCCTCCGGCTTCCCAGGCTCCAGACCACAGGGCCCTGGATGGCCCCAGGTGTCACACCGCACAGGTGGACATGGGGCTCCACTCCTCCCCTCCAAGCCTGTGCCTTCCCACTGCCGCCCGAAGCCTGCACAACCCCTGCCGCCTCCTCCTCCTCTCTAAGCCCTAAGGCAGGGGGCTGAGTCTGTGCACCCCCCCCACCCCCGCTGTGCTCCTGAAACCCATCCCGCCTCCCCTGCCACGCCCTGGCCCAGACCCTGCTCCCCCTGCCGCCACCCCCCTGCTTAGGACCCCTGCGGCTCTCCACACCCAACCCCTACGCCATCAGCCAGCCTCCTCCAAAGCTGAACCGCTCGGCTTCTGGCACAGGCTGCGTTCTGCCTCCAGGGACCTGCACACGCATCCTGCCTTCTGCCCGGGCCCCCTCTGCCCGCGTCCCCTCTCCCTGGGCTCCGCTCCCACGTTCTCCCGGACCAGGGTGCTCAGGGGCTCCGCAGGGGGAGGGCCTGGGCCTCAGAGGCCGCGCCGCTTTCGGAACTCGCAGCCCCCAGGCAGGCCTTTGTCTTTTCCCTGGAGGAGGGGGTGTACAGAGACACGGACACACTCTCCCAGCCCAGACATCGGAGGCTGGAGCAGGGGCCCACCCTGGCCTCCGTGGCTCCAGTGGGCAGATGCAGCAGGCGGCCTTCCAGAACCTGCTCTGGGCTGGGGCTTCCAGGTGAGTGGCGGCGCCCAGCGGGGCAGCCTGAGCGCCTGTCCTCAGAGCAGTCAGTGCAGCGTGGTGGGGGGTAGGCGTGCACGAGGAAGAACCGGGCGCCCAGAGAAAGGCGGGGGGCTCCAGGCCAGGACGCACCTTCTGCTCCAGCTGCCGGGCCTTCTGTCTCCGCAGCAGCATCTGGTTCCAGGCCTCCTCGTAGGGGTCGGCCACCAGCGTGTGTCTGTTGTAGGAGCGCAGCTGCGGGAGGGAGGGAGGGCGGCGGTCAGGGCGGGCCCGGGTCGGGGGCGGGGACGGGGGTGGGGTCACGCAGTGTGGGAGGGGCCTCACCCGCTGCCGGGTCTTCTGCAGGTTGTTCCTCAGGATTTTGCGGATCTCCTCCTCCTTGTCCTTGGACAGCGCCGGCAGGATGCGCTCGGCAGGCAGGGCCTTGGGGTGGATGTTCCTGGGGGAACAGGGCACAGGGTGGGTGCCCAGGAGAACTCCCGCGCCCCTGCAGGGCCCGCGGGGCCGGGGGCCGGGGCACTCACTGCATGGAGACGGTGGAGACGGCCGAGGGGATCTTGCCCATGCCCCCACTCTCCACCAGCTCGATGGCCTGCTTCATCTCCATCTTGTGGTAGAAGGCGATGAGCTGGGGCTCCTTGGAGCGCTCGCCCGCGATCAGACACTTCTTCACGTACTTCTTGTTAAACCGGTTGAGCCTGGCAGCAGGAGGAAAGAGCAGGATGGAGGCAGATCCCAGGCGTGGGGAGACGCCTGGGCCCCGGGAGACCCTCCCCACCCCTCCCTGCCCGCCGGCCCACCAGGCCTGCCACCTACTTGTCTTTCCAATGGTGGTGGCCGTAGTGGCCACAGATGTCCTCGATGCCTGTCAGAAGGTGGTCCAGGAACTGAAACGGGCCCAGGGCCAGGTCAAGCCTCACTACTGGGCTCCTGCCCGACCGAGACCTTGACAGCGGCCCCCTCCCACCCCAGCTGCGGCTCTGCTCTGCCCAGCCCCATAGTTCCAGAAGTGGCCAGAAGGGGGCGCCCGCACCACACACATCCTGGAGCCGAGGGATCCTGACCCTGGGCATCTTAAAAGCTGCCACCCCCGCAGCTTGGTTGAGGTCCCTTTCTCTGAAGCCACCTGTGCTCCAGGGCTGGGATGAGCTCCAATTAGAGAAAAATGGCACGAGGTCCCTTCCTCAGGCTCCCAGCTGCCCACACCACACCTTCCCTAGGGCCAGGCCCTGAAGGCCACCTCAGGGTGGAGGGTCGGCCCAGCAGGAGACACAGAGGCGAGGCCTAGCTGCGCCCCCGCGCCCGCGGCTAAGGCCCCGCGGCTTCAGTACCTGCGTGTGGATCTCCTCGTTGATGGAGCGCTTTGTTTCCTGCTTTTTCTTCACGGCCAGCAGGTCCACCAGGGGCCGGATGGTCATGCCCTGGGGGCACAGGTGGCTGTCAGACTCTCCTGGCTTGGGCCTCCTCCCGCCTCCCCAAGGTGGCCCCAGGGACCAAAGGGAGTCCCTGACCTCTCTCCCTGCACCTAAAGGCAGGTCCTTAAAGCCTGCTTCTTCAGGAAGACACAGGCAGAGGTCTGACAGCCCAACCAGCCAGTGACTCCCACACAGGTCACGTGGCGTGGGTCCAAGTGTGGGCCCACGACCCCAAGGAAGTCAGGGAGAACCGCCTGTCTCTGCCCCTCCACGGCGGTGCCTGGAGCACCTGGGAATCACTCGGGCAGCTGCTGTGACGGCACACTGGCCAAATGACAGGCCCAGTTACGTTCTGCTAGACTTCCAGTACCCACAACAACCCCAGGAAGGGTTCAATGTCCCCATTTCACAGATGAGGAAACCGAGGCTCAGGACCTTCTAAGGTCCTACAGGAAGTAGCAGAGCCCAGACTGACACCCAGGCAAGCTGGCTCCAGGAGGTTCCCACCCAGTGCCGCCTTCAGTGAAAAGCTCAGCACACACAACTGCAAAGTCAAGGTGAAAAGCTGAGCCACAGGAGACCTCTCCCAGCTGCGTCCCATCTAGGGCTTTGCAAGGATTAGCGCCCAGGAAAGAGAGAAAGACCAGGAAAGAGGAGGCAGCCCAGCCAGAGTGCTCCTCACGTGCCCCAGGTCCGAGGGCCAGGTCAGCTAGAGCGGCTACCACGGCCCCGCTGGGCTTCAGTACCTGCATGGGGACCACGAGGAGCAGGTGTGCATGTGTGTATGCGTGCATATGTGTGTGCACATATGTGGGTATGTGTGTATATGGGGGTATGTATAGATGTGTGTATGTATGTGTATATGTGTGTGTATGTGTATATGTGTGTATGTGTGTCTGTGCCTCAGCAAAGCCGGGACCACTGAGAAGGAGCAGAGTGTGTGTGTGCATGTATGTATATATGTGCATATGTATATGTTGTGTGTGTCTCAGCCAAGCCGGGACCACTGAGAAGGAGCAGAGTGTGTGTGTGCATGTATGTATATATGTGCATATGTATATGTTGTGTGTGTCTCAGCCAAGCCGGGACCACTGAGAAGGAGCAGAGTGTGTGTGTGCATGTATGTATATATGTGCATATGTATATGTTGTGTGTGTCTCAGCCAAGCCGGGACCACTGAGAAGGAGCAGTATACGAGTGTGCATGTGTGTGCATGCGTGTGTGTGTGTCTCAGCTAAGCTGGGATTGAGAAGGAGCAGTGTATCGAGTGTATACGTGTGCATGTGTGTCTCGGCTAAGCCGGGATCACTGAGAAGGAGCAGTGTATAAGTGTGAGTGAGTGTGTGTGTCAGCTAAGCTGGGACCACTGAGAAGGAGCAGTGTATGAGTGTGCATGTGTGTGTGCATGTATGTATGTGTGTGTGTGCATGTGTGTGTGTGTCAGCTAAGCTGGGACCACTGAGAAGGAACAATGTTGAGTGTATAGGTGTGCGTGTGTGTGTCAGCAAAGCTGGGATCGTTGAGGACAGAAATCACTGGGCCACACGGGGGAGGACTCCTGCCTTCATTGGCCCAGTGCCCTCACTTCCAGGACCTGAGACCCAGAGTCACTCCCAGGGCCACAGACACGGCAGCAGAGTGAGGGTGGGTCCAGGCCTCCTCCAGCCTCGCTTGGAGACCTCCCCAGACCCTCATGTGTCACAGACGCAGAACACATCACATCCTAAGAGGCTTACCACTCGCCCTACCATGAGCTGGTGGCAAAGCAGATCCTGGGCCCACTGACCGTATCCATCTTGCTCAATGCCACCCAGCTTCCTAATCAAGTTGGACAGTGTTCTGGTTACTGTCCACTCATTATCACGATTCTCACTCGGGGCTCCCCAGAAAGGGGGTGCGGCTCGTCCCAGGTCAGGAAGTGAGCGAGAGGGAGGGCTGAGCCCCAGAACCCATGCACGGCCCCCTGGCGAATCTCGGGGCTCCAGGGCCAGGGCCTGCTCTGCCCTGGGCCAGCACCTGCACAAAGACGGTGAAGAAGATGACGGTGATGATGGCGGTGAGGAACAGGTCGCACATGGGGAAGTGCTTCTTGTCCAGGAGGTAGCCCAGCGAGAAGGCGATGGCGCCCCGCAGGCCGCCGTAGGCGATGATGAACTGGTCCTTGGGCGTCAGCTTCACTATGCGGAACTTGTTGATGAACCAGGTCAGGCCCAGCACACCTGCCAGGGAGGGCAGCGAGGGGTCAGGCTGCCCCCACCCTCTGGCTCCGCAGCAGCGACTTCTCTGAATACCCAGAAGCCCCAACTGCCAAACCCGCCCAGCTCACCCATTCCCTGGTCACTTGGCCAGAGGCGATGTGAACCCCTCAATCCAAGAGCTGGGTGGGTCCTGAAGCCCCCCCAGCACCACCACCTAGACAAGCTGTGGAGATGTGGCCAAGGTCTCCAGCAGCCGGAGGTCAGGAAGGAAAGGGGGTAAGATGGATCATGACCGGGACAGCCTGGTACTTGCTAAATGTGATGGGGACGTGGGGTACCACCAGCTGCTCTCTACTTTCCCATTACTAAAAAGTTCCAGAACATTATTAAAAACTCAAAAAAACACATTAAACAGTTCACCAGGTGGGGCCATCGTTGTGGTGCAGCAGGTCTAGCCAACGGCAGTGGTGCCGGCATCCCACTTCGGAGCACTGGCTCGAGCCCCAGCTGCTCTGCTCTGGTTCCAGCTCCCTGCTAATGCTCCTGGGAAAGCAGTGGGAGATGGTCCAAGGACTTGCAGCCCTGCTCCATATGGGAAACCCAGACGAAGTGCCTGGCTTCAGTCTGGCCCAGCCCTGGCCATTGTGGCCATTTGGGGAGTGAACCAGTGGATGGAAGATCTTTCTCTCTATCTGTAATTCTGCCTTTCAAATAAAATAAATCTTAAAAGGTGGGGGCCGGTGCTGTGGTGTAGTGGGTTAAGCCTCTGCCTGCAGTGCTGGGCACTGGTTCGAGTCCTGGCTGCTCCTCTTCTGATCCAGCTCCCTGCTAATGGCCTGGGAGAGCAGCGGAGGACAGCCCAAGTGCTTGGGCCCCTGCACCCACATGTGGGATATGGAGGAGCCTCCTGGACCTGGCTTCGGATCAGCCCAGCTCCGGCTGTTGCAGCCATCTGGGGCGTGAGCCAGGGAGGGAGGACCTCTCTTTGTCTCTCCCTCTCTGTAACTCTGATTCTCAATAAATAAATAAATCTTTAAAAAAAAATTAAAAGTGCACCAAGTGAACGTGACACCCCACAACACAGGGCCAAGGTCTGCTCCTCATCAGAATGGGAGGCAACCCAGCCCCAGAGAGGAGGTGCACCCCGCACATGTGCATGAACCCGGGGCCTGAGGCTGGTCCCTCCCGCAGCCCCGGCTGGCGTGGAGTCGGGGAAGGGCGGGGCGTCAGGGGCTGCACACAGCTTCTGGCCCCTGGGCCGTGGTGACCCACATTCGGCTCAACATCACAGACCTAGGTTCCAGAGGCCTTGTGCCCCGCTCAGGGAGCCAACAGACTCAGAGTCAGAGGGTCTCCCCTGCGCACTCCCGCACACCACGACCCATCCCGAGACCGTAGATTCGCAGTGAGCATGCGCTGCCCGCCCCTCAGGGGCCAGCACCGCGCCTGAGCTGCAGATAGGCGTGCCGAGCCCTCTCACAACCGCGCGCGCGCACACACACACACACACACACACACGCAGCCCCACGCACCACACCCTCAGCACCCTGGGGCCCCTGTGCACAACACACCGCACACATCACAGGGCCACCCCACAGCACGCCCCCCACCCCTCCACACACAAGCATGCGCACGCGCTCACCCAGCACGCGGGCGATGAGGCAGAAGAGCAGGGTGCTGATGACGAAGGTCCAATTCCAGTGGTGGGAGCCGGCCACGGTGGAGACGCCGAGGAAGATGAAGATGAGGGTCTCGCTGACGCTGCTCCACATCTTCAGGAAGTACTTGATGGTGGTGTGCGACTTGTGCGAGATGTTCGCCTCCACGTAGGGCCGCATCACCACTCCCGAGGCGATGAGTCTGCGGGCCGGGAGCGCGGGGCTCTGGTGGGCGGGGCCTCCCGCCCCCCACCCCACCGGCTGACCCCTGGTCTCCCCCAGTCCTGCCTCCGTCCCACAGGCACGGGCACCCTGCGTGTTCAACGTCTGACTCTTGGAGGAAGAAAGTCGCCCGCCTGCCCCGTGCCTCCCTGGCTCAGTGACGCAGGGGGCTCCCCGCAGGGAACCGGGCCCCTGCACTGCAGCCGGGAACACGCTGCACCCACGGCCCCGCACGCCCAGCCTCCCACTCGAGACCCCGTGCGGCCTCAGGACCTCCGCTCTCCTCACTGGAAGCCCCGAGCGCCTGCGGGGCTCACTGGAAGCGGCATCCGGCTCTACCTGCAGGCCTCCCTCTGAGACCCGGAAAGGGACGAAGCCGCAGGGCTGACTCCCCGGCTCGAGGCTCAGTGGCTTCCTGGGGCACCTTGGGTCCCAGCCTCCTGCGCCCTGGGGTCCCGGGCCAGCCCACAGCCTGCTGCACCCCACTCACGCCATGATGCCCGACAGGTGGAAGAGCTCGGCCGACAGGTAGGCCATGTAGCTGTAGAGGAAGACGAAGAGCGGCTCGATGACGCGGATGTGGGCGGTGAATCGGGAGGTGAAGGCTGCGATGACCCCGTAGACCACGCCCACGAACACCCCGCCCAGGGCCACCACGAAGAAGCTCAGGAAGCCCAGGACGATGTCCACGATGCCCACGTGGTCGTAGTTGGCAAACTCCTCAAAGAGGTGATACAGCACCTGGGGAGGGCGTGCCGGCTGTGGGTGGGAGGCAGAGCCTTGGCCCTGCGGCTCCCTGGGGTCCCCCCAGGCTGATCCCGTCTCCTCCATGGAGCCCAGCGGCAAGAGAATGTGTGGCGCCAAGCAGGTGCTCAGATCCACAGCCGGGGTCAGAGGGCGTCCATGCAGCTACAGGGCACAAACCCTATCGCTTGGCCCGGAACCCCAGCCCTGCCGCTCCCTGTGCCCCAGTCTGCCCATCTATCAAATGGGGATAATGATAAGGCCTGCTGTATAGGCTGCTGCGAGGATTAAGTTAGTAAACAAGGATAAAGCCCTCAGAACTGTGCCCGAGGCAGTGCTGGCTGTTACTGGTACTGCTAGGACCCTGCCCGAACCACGCCCATCTGTGGCAGGAAGTGCGGAAGTTCAGACAATGGACAGGATTTCTTAACCTCCAAAACCTTATGGAAACACACATGGCCGGGCCATACCCAACCTGGACTCTCTAGGTGGAGCCCAGAAATCTCTACAGGTGGCTGCAGTGAACAGCCAAGTTTAGGTGCTGCATACAGCCGGAGGCCCTCTAGGGCTTCCTGTCTCCTGGGTCACTGTGACACTACCATCAGATGGATTGTGACACTTTGGGAGCCGTCAGGCCCCTGCACAGTCTTTACCCTGGTGGACACTCGCCAACCCGTCGGGATAGGTGGGCCAAGGCTGCCCACTGCCTTGCCAAGCTGAGGCTCCGAGTGCTGAACACAGACCAGAGGGCCCAGCCCTGGGCAGCAGAACCTGTGCCCCTGAGGCCAGGGGCTGAGACCCCATCAGCAGGCTCAGCTCCAAACCTCCTAGCGGCCAGCACTCTGGCTGCCTGGTCTACCTAGGTGAGTCCTAACAGCTCTCCCAGCAAAGAACTGGGGCGTTGCCAACCTCAGGGGGAGGGGAGCCCTCCAGAGCGCCAGGACCTGGGCAGTGCCCAGGAGCGTGGGGACGGGGCAAGGGGAGCAGCATACAGGGCACGGGCCCGAGGCCAGGCAGCTCAGGGGTCGTCCTCGGCTTTGCTGTCTGGACAATGGGGCTGAGCGGGAAGGGGAGACGCCGAGCGCTGGCCAGGCCCTGGTGCCGCCTGGCCCACGGCCATCTGCGAGGCCAGGGGGCTCCAGTGGTGGAGAGCTGTGTCAGCGGGCAAGCTCTCGGGCCTGGACACGGAAACTCTCTCCCAGCCTGGGGGGAGCCAGGGGTCCTCAGAGGCCATCATGTGGGCCGGTAGGGGCTGAGGGTATAGAAGGCACGGTCTTCCTTTCTGGCCTGGTACTGTGCTTTTGGAACTACAGGCGGTGTAGTACAGTGGTTAGTGTCTGCGCGCTAGATTTAGTCTGTGGATGTGAGTCCAAGCTACATCACTCATCAGCTAAGGTAGCCACTCAGTGCCTCAGTTTCCCCAACTGCTAATCATGTGGAGTTACTATGCAGGCTAGATAAGGCAAAACACGTTCAGAAAGCAGGCATGCGGGGGCAGGCATTTGGCCTAGCTGTTAAAATGCTGCCTGGAGTGCCTGCACCCCACATCAGCACGCTTGGGTTCAAGTTCCAGCTCCGCTCCTGATTCCAGCTCCTGCTAATGTGCACCCCGGGGGGCAGCAGGTGATGGCTCGAGTCCCTACCACCCAGGTGGGAGACTGGACTGAATTCCTAGCTCTGGTGTTGGCCAGGCCCAGCCCTGGCTGTTGCAGGCATTTGGGGAGCAAACCACTGGATGGAGGAGCTCTGTCCATCTGTCTGTTTGCCTTTCAAACAGAGAAAATAAACAAATAAATCCATAAAAAGCAGCACTGAGTACGGGCTGTCGCTGTCGTCTTTGGGAGACACAGTTGTGGGTCCTAAGAAGTTGGAGCTGAGTGACCCACTCCACACAACCATGCCCATTGCTCCATGGGGTGCCAACCTGAACCCCAACACCCAGATCCCATGGGAGAGGCTTTTGTCTCTGGCATCCACTGGCTCCCCAGACCTGAGTGCAACTCTGGGCGCTGCCATCCCTGTGTCACAGATGGGGAAACTGGAGACGCTGGCCAAGAGCTGGCTCCAGAAGAGGCTAGCATGGAGGCCTGCCTAGCCCCAGTGGGGCGGGGGAGGCAAGCAGAGGAAGCCTGGCGGCCGGCAACTGAACACGGACGTCTACCGTGAGCACTGCTTCCCGAGAGGCTGGGGGGTGGGGAGGTGGTCCGTGTGCGAGCGTGCACCGTGCACGCATGCATGTCCCTGTGTTTCCCTGTGTGTGTAGCTGCTCTCTGAGGGGTCTGGCGCAGGAGGACAACAGAGGTGTTTTCACAATGCGATGTGAGCGTGCACATACACTTATCTGTTTCCTGGGAAACCAACAGAGAGGAAGGGCACGTGCTACACATCCAGTGCCACACGTGGACCCTGCGTCGGGGCATCTGTCCCTGTTAGGCCCTGGGCAGGAAGCACTAACGCTCTGCCATTTCTCAGGTGTCAAAGGTGGTAAAGCCCAGAGAGGTAGCGGCACCTGCCTAGGGTCACACAGACACTGGGTGTCACTTCTGCTGGGCTCTGTGGGGTCTGGGGATCTGGCCTTGCTGGCTGACAGCGGCCACAGCAAGAGAGCCACCTGCTTAAGGTGACTGATGCAGGCCAACCTATTCTACCTCCTGGAGGTCTGGGAGACGAGGGTCCCTTCTAGAATCTCCATCCCAGAACTCTACACAGAGTGAGCTCTAACATAAAGCAGAGGCAATAGAAAGGCTCCTCCCAGACGAAGGGGTCTCAAAAGAGGAAACGGGCAGAGGGTCAAGTCACTTGTCCAAGGTCCAAGTGCACGCCCAGCAGGGGGCGCACGGCCTCAGACACAGGCTGGCTCCCGTCCTGGTCCCCCCTCCCCGGCAAGTGGCTTCTTTGGGCCTCTTCTCCTCCTCTGCCACATGGGGCCGACACATGGCTCAGAGCACCGCGGAGCGTTCCCAGCGGCCCTCACCACAGTGACGGCGTCGTTGAGCAGGGACTCGCCGAAGACCAGGATGTGCAGCAGCTCATTGATGTGGATCTCCTCGAAGACGGCCAGCACGGCCACGGGGTCCACGGCCGAGATGATGCTGCCGAACAGCAGGTTGTCCAGCAGCCCGATGTTGTTGATCTGCTCGCCGCCCACCAGGCACACGGCGTACATGAGGCCGCCCAGGAAGAAGGCGTTCCACAGCGTGCCCACCACGGCGAAGATGAGGATGGTGCCCAGGTTCTCGGTGAACTGCCGCAGCGGCAGGAAGTAGCCGGCGTCCAGGATGATGGGCGGCAGCAGGAAGAGGAAAAAGACCTCCGACTGCAGGAAGGGCGGCTTCTCGCCCACGCCCTTGATCAGGCCCCCCACCAGCAGCCCCACCACAATCAGCAGGCAGCTCTCCGGGACGATGCTGGAGATGGTGGGGATCACGTGGAAACCTGCGCAGGACGAGAGAACGGGAGGCCATGGGCTTTCCTGGGTGGGGGGAGCCGTGCGGGAGGCTGGGGAAGGGCTGGGGACCAGGGCAGCACTGGCCAGGGGCGCCCGGGCTTGCGCTCAGAAGGCCCCTCTGTTAACTCTCCGGTGTCCGCTTCCCGGCCTGTGAACTAGCAACGACCAAGGACATACACAGGCCACCTTGTGTCACCGTCACAAAACACTAGAAGGCAGCAGTTGGCTTTGCCTCCAGAAGGCAGGAATTATAAACTGATTACCCAGGCGCCAGGCAGCTAAGGGCATGACCTACACCTGAACCCGAGGCAATGTCTTTCCAGGCCCGAGTTCAGGGAGGCCCACTGGAGCTCCGTGAGGAACAACAGTGCGACAGTCAGTGCTGTCTGGGGGAAGATGGCCGGGACTGCGGCAGAAGGCGGCTGGCTGGCGGGTGGAGAAGTGGCTCAGGCGACAGAAGGAAGCGCGGGAGACTCGGCGCAGGAAGGAACTCGGGATAATGAGCCCCAGAGTCTGCAAACCTGCAGAGCGCGCGCCACCTCCAGTCCCAGACCTGGGGGCGGCAGGCGCCTCTGCAATCACAGCGAGCTTCCCGCTGAGCACGGGACGGTCGAGCCGGGGCTCGGAGGGGTCACCAGCAGTCAGGCAGGTCCCCTGCCACCCCCTTCCTAGCCCAATCCCACCTCCTTTAAAAAGGGTGCCAGCAATGGAGGGAGGCTTAGGGGTGGGGAAAGGCCTTGCCCAAAGTCACAGAGAACCGGACGGAGCCAGTCTGCCTCCCTCCCATCAGACCCTGCAGTTCTGAAATTCAAGTTTTCCTCCCCCACCGCTCTCCCACCAAGGCACCCACGCAGCCCTCTGCTGGAAAGACCCACCAGCCGCGTGCCCAGGTGGGGTCCTGGATGGAGGAGGGGTCAAGCTCCTCTGTGGTCCCCCTGGGGACCCACTGGAGAACCCACGGCGGGGAGGCACCAAAAATCCCCACCAGAGAAGGCCTCTGTCAATGCCAGGTCTGGCCGCAGTGCCCAGAGTTCCCTATGAGTTACTAGGGTTTTTGTTTTTTAACATTTATTTAATTATTTGAAAGGCAGAGTAAGAGAGAGATCTCCTACCCACTGGTTTACTCCTTAAATGGCTGCAACAGCCCCAGCTGGGCCAAGGCAAACCAGGAGCCGAAAACTCCACGCAGGTCTCCCCACGTGGGTGGCTGGGGCCCAAGCACTTGGCCACCTGCTGCTGCCTCCCAGGGTGCACAGCGGCAGGGAACTAGCTGGGAAGCAGAGCAGCTGGGACCCGGATCTGTGAGGCAAGTATCCAAGCAGCGGCTTAACCCTTTATGCCACGATGCCCAGCAGCTGGTTGTGTTTCTGCACGGGGAGGTGGGTGGGGAAGACCTGCGCATCTGGCTTGTGCGGTACATGACACCCCGGGTGGGCTTGGTCAAGAGGCTGGGACCCTTTGCTTGAGGACAGAGCTCTCTCTCCTCCCGTTTCTCGCCTGTTTAGGCAGATCCCATATCTGCTTATGACTTTATGCCCAAGGCTCAGGACACAGTAGGTGCTCAATAAACATCTGCTGGTTTGAAAATACAGAGTTGGGGGGCCATTGTGGAGCACTGGATTAAGCCACTGCCTGTGATGCCAGCATCCCCTATGTCACCAGTTCGAGTCCCAGCTGCTCCACTTCTGATCCAGCTCCCTGCTAATGCACCTGGGGAAGCAGCAGAGGATGGCCCAAATGCTCGGGTCCCTGCCACCCACATGGGAGACCTGGATGGAGTTCTGGGATCCTGCCTTCAGCCTGGCCCTGCCCTGGCCATTGTGGCCACCGGGACAGTGAATCAGCAGATAGAAGATCTCTCTCTCTCTCTCTTTCCTTCTCACTAACTCTGCCTTTCAAATAAATAAAATGAACTTAAGAAAGAAAGAAAATACGGAGCTGGTACGCGGCCCACGATTCCCCGTAATTACCTATCTGGCCAGGTTTCTGCTCTTATCCCCGGATCCTTGGGAAGAAGGAGAATATTCCTCCCATGCCTAAGCCCCCCGTCCCTCAGGCAGTGCCAGCACAGCTGAAGTCAAGGCTCACCCCCCCCCCAGCCAGCAGGCAGGCCCTGAACCTGGCACAGTGCCAAGCACCCGGGGTTCACTCAAAACATGTCTCCACCCTGGGCCAGGAGCAGGCACAAAGCTACCATGCACACTCCCCCAACTTCCCCTGCCCGGAGGTCACCTCTGTTGCCAAAAAGCCCCCCAGTCTTGGAAGCTGCCCCAGTAGCGCCAGCGTTCGGCCGGCTGCTGCACCGCTGATGGCTGGGTCACACTAGGCCCAGGGCTCCTCTGCTGTAGAGAATAAAGTCCAAGCGTTCAAGGGCAGACACGCGGCACAGCAGCGGATACCACCCGAGAGGCCTGCAGCCTACATCACAGCACCTGGTTCAAGTCTTGGCTCCTCCACTTCCAATCCCAGCTCCACGCTAACGTGTCGGAGGCAGGAGATAACGGCTCCAGCACTTGGGTTCCTGCCACCTGTGTGGCAGACCCTGGCCCAACTCTGGCTCTTGTGGGAGTTTGGGGAGTAAACCAGCAGATGGAAGATTTCTCTCTGCCTTTCAAATAAAATGAAAATAAATTTTAAAATGTTTTCAAAAAGTCTATAAACTTTCAGCATTTCATCAGTCACCTGACTCTCACTTCCTGTTTCCACTCTTCCCATTGTCAACTCACGTCTTATCCTTGTCAAATGGCTGCAGATGGCCCATATCCTCTTCTACTACTCTAGTTCCTCTCTCCAGAACACCATTCCTGTCTCTCCTCCACCCACACTGTGTATGGTTGTCACCATATCCTTCTTTTTTTATTTTTTATTTTTTGACAGGCAGAGTGGACAGTGAGAGAGAGAGAGAGAAACGTCTTCCTTTTGCTGTTGGTTCACCCTCTAATGGCCGCTGCGGCCAGTGCGCTGCAGCTGGTGCATTGCGTTGATCCGAAGGCAGGAGCCAGGTGCTTCTCCTGGTCTCCCATGCAGGTGCAGGGCCCAAGCACTTGGGCCATCCTCCACTGCACTCCCTGGCCACAGCAGAGAGCTGGCCTGGAAGAGGGGCAACTGGAACAGAATCCAGCGCCCCGACTGGGACTAGAACCTGGTGTGCCGGCGCCGCAGGCAGAGGATTAGTCTATTGAGCCGCGGAGCCGGCTCACCATATTCTTCTGCCTGCCTCCTCCTCCAGGAAGTGTTCCCTGACTACCCTTGTCTGCCCATGTTAGGACAGAAGTCCCCTGGTGCCTCCCTTCCTCATAACCTTCTTCACTTACTCACTGCCCATGTTTCCCTCTCCCTGGCACCATAGGGGATCAGGAAAGCTGGGCAGAAGTAGGGGAGACTGGCCAACGGTACCTTACCCCAGAAACCTGTGCTGCCCCGGAGGGAAGCGGGGACGCTGGGAGTTCTAGAGCAGAGTTCAGGCAGGTACGGGCCAGAAGGCAGCGGCCAAGGCCAGAGGACAGCTGCAGCCACTTAGCCTCCCCCGCAGTCTCCCTGGCCCTGCCCTGGAGTCAGCCCCACCGGATGCCTTAGAAGGCAGAATCGAAGCGAAAGGCAGCCCGGGGGCGGGTGGATGACAGCTTCTATCTCCAACCAGCAGGGGACGCTCTAACGAGGCCTCCCCATCCCCGATGCCATCGGGTCAATCCTCGGGGCTTTCCCAGGCCCTACAAAACGTCAAGCGGTGCCCTGGAGACCCAGAGCCGAGATGGTTTATAGCTCCTGCCGGCACGGGCAGCCAGCCAAGAGCAGGAACGTGAGGACGCTGCACCGTGCCGGGACTGGGCTCCCACCACCTCTGCCCCCAGCCACCCTGTGGGACAGGAATCGTGCCCATTCTGCAGAAAACAAAGCTGGGGTCTCAGCAAGGCTGGGCAGCTTCCCCAGGGCCTAGGGAAGCTCCTCTCTACTGTTCTCAAGCCCGTGGCACAGAACGAAGAAACCTATTCTTTACTCAAGTGCTGGTGCCAGGCCACGCCGGGCACTAGGGAAGCGGAGGTGGCTCAGGCTGGGAGGCTCTGCGCGGACTGGGACCTCCCTCACAGGTGACCAGACAGCTGGCACTCCTCCTGGACACGCCCAGCCAGGCCATACGGGGCTGGGGCCTGGTCACCTCTTCTGCTAAGCCAACTCCCAGGATGCCTTCCAGGAAGACAGGGGCCACGTGTGCCCCGACAGGCTCTCGGGGCTGTGGCGGGAAGGGGCAGGCCCAGGCCGAGGAGGAAGGCCTGGGTACTCTCCGGGCACTCTGCCAGGGGTAGGCAGCAGGTTACTGGAAAGCACCTCCAGGGAGGGGGAGGGCACGCTGTCACCAGGAGGGGAAGGAGAGAGCAGCCCACGGCTTGTCCCTGCTTGTCCTCCCCGCCCTCCAATCCTTCCCACGCCGCGTCTCTGAAGAGTCCCCTTAAACTGCAGGGTCTGTGACACTGAGTGTGGTGAGAGAGGCACAAACGCACGGCCGGAGCCCCCAACCCCCTGACAAAGGCCTGGCATCGTGGCCAAAGCCCAGGAGGCCGGGCAGTGAGGCCCCAGCTGTGCGGAGGCAGTGACGTCACCAGCGTGGAATCAGGGCTGGGGAGGAGGCAGGCGGCCTCCGATCCTGCGGTTTGGGAAACAGATTCTCAAAGGCAGCCAGCAGCCTGCCGTAGTCCCGTGACCAGGCCTGCCACGAGAGCCGGGACACGCCAAGTCACGTCAGCCACTCAAGCCACATGGCGTCCTGTGAGGGCGGCCAGCCCTGCTGAGCAAGCAGACGAGGTGTAGAATTCAGCAGCTCCCAGCCACGGGCAAAGCCTCTGCGGGGAGAAGAGAAGGGGAGCGGGGGTGGGGGGGCGTGCTTCGGACTCTGCCTGGGGCAGGGGCCAGGGGCTTGTGGAGACACACGCCCACACACGCTCACGCGGCCTCAAAGACCCTTCCCCACGCTCTGGTGGGTAGGGGCCTC